GGAACATATAATTGCTGTTTTGCTAAAATTCTTACCACATGAAATTTCACTTCTATCAGTCCTGTTATTTTTATGAAAGACTCTGCTATACTAAATGTCAGGGATTGTGCCTGGGGCACCAAGCTAACAGTTACTGAATTTGGCTTCACAGGTTTACTGTTTTCCATTGACTTCCACTGTCTTGGACAGTGGCAGACCCTTTTCAGGTAGCAGTGGCTGAAGGAGAACCCATTGAAGTAACTGCTCCTGGTTATTTTGTTGTGCAGTTAATGTCTTGTTTTCTGTGTGCTTTTTGATGGATCATGGGGGTTTATAGAGATTTCTAGAACTTTCTTTTTTTTATTTCCTCTCCCAAGGTGATCTACGCCTGTTACTGTATCTCTGATGCTAAGGAAAAAAAGAAAAACATCACTGCACTGCCAAAAAAAAAAAAAATACAATTGTTTGCTGGCAGGTAGAAAGGGGAAAGTGTGATAATGGCTAAAATATTAGCAGTGGCTTCTGGTACCTTGACATGTTTGCCATCAACCCCTGAGTCAAAACAATTGTTCCACTTCTTGCTGACTCCTGGGGGTGAAGGGCTTCAGGGTGGCATTCTGTGATCCTTTAGTCTAGCCTTGTTGGGAAGGCTGTGCTTTTCAGTTTTGGTACTGATTTTATTACTATAGAGAATGACGTACAGAAGAGTTCAGGCTGAGCCTTGGTCATTAGATAGTTGTCCTGGGTTCAGCAGCAGCAGTCATTTTTCTCCTTCTTAGTAGCTGGTGCAGTGCTATGGTTTTGACTTTCAGCCTGAGAACAGTGTTGATAACACCGATGTTTTTAGTTGTTGCTCAGTAATGTTTAGTCTGACCAAGGACTTCGTGAGTCTCATGCTCTGCCAGGGAGGAGGGAAAGCTGGGACGAAGCAGAGACAGGACACCTGACCCAAACTAGCCAAAGAGGTATTCCATACCACAGCACATCATGCCCAGTATATAAACTGGGGGCAGTTACCCAGAAGGGCTAGATCACTGCTCGGTCAGGCTGGGTATTGATCAGTGGGTGGTATCCTATGCTCTTCCCTTATTATTTCCCTTATCATTATTATTATTGGTGGTAGCAGCAGTGGTTTGTGTTATACGTTAGTCACTGGACTGTTCTTATTTCAACCCGTGGGAGGTACATTCTTTCGATTCTCCTCCCCATCCCTCCAGGAGCAGAGGGATGAAAGGGGGAGCAGTGAGCGAGGACTGTGTGGCTGATTTATGACAGAGCTTAAGCCACAACAGTAGTGATGAATTTTCTTTATTATTTTCAGTTATGACTAGTACTTTAACTTGAAATTCAAGAGACAGTCTACGTTTTAATCTGGACAATCAGCAGTTCATCTGTGAGCCAGATGCTTTGCTATGGAGGGAGTAGACATCATTAAGAATTGCATAAAAATAGGTTAAGAAACTCTTCTGCACCTATTTGAGTGGTACATCTCCTGGAGCTGTTGAAGAAGCCACTCTCATGTTAAAACAATTTATAGATAATCAAGTGAAACTATGGCTAGGTAGAACAGAGGGCTTTCCTTCTCCCTGGCCCTCTACAAAGTGCTGTGCTCATGGCAAGATATAGTGAAGAATATTTCTATTCCTTTAGCTCTCTTGGGTTGCTGTTTTTCATGGACTGTTTCTGCTGATGTTCCCAAATAATTTCAGTTGAAAGATCCAAAGTCTTCTGTTCAGATGTCTTATGCTGTACCTCTCAGACCTTGAATGATTCATGAATTTTTCTGCACTTATAAATTGTCACTCCTGTGGTTTTATGATCTATAGCCTGGGCCCTTCTGGTTTGTGAGGCCAGCTTATCCACCTTTATGGTGGACTCTTACTGATTTAGAAAACAAGCCTTTTAACAGTTCCTGAACAGCAGGTCCTTACTTTTTAGTAGCATCTTGACTTTCTTGAGAGATGTTACAGACCCTAAAAGACTTAAAACAATTTACATATGATTTCTCAGAATCTTTATCTCACTGGAATACCTTGTTCTTTATTGAGAATCTAGTGGCTGCTTACTAGTAGTTGTGCTGAGTTGTGTGGGATTACAGTAATGTCCAGGTACAGTGAACGTTCCTCCCAGAATTGGCAGGACACTGACTTTCTACAGTTGAATTACCACAAATCCTTTCTGGGCATCTCTCTACTGTCAAGCTTTTGCCAATATTTCTCCCACTTCTCCTAGGACAGTGTCTTCTGCAGTTCATAGCTCATGGGTTATTGTTCCTCTGGTTTGTTTGGCTAAAATTGAAATAGAAAAAGAAAAGTGTCACTATTTCGGAAATAAAACTTAGGTTTGCAAAACATTTTTCATCATTTTGCTTTTCCTAAGCTAATACAAACCTTTGCAGTATTGGTATGTTTAAGTCAGTGGAAAAAATTATTTAAAATTTGGAATGAAAGCTTCAAGCAGTCAGATTCACTGGTTATAACCCCATTCAGCTCGCTAACAAAGTGCTCCATTTGGAACTAATCAGAGCTTTGTGATTTTTCTAGGCCAGTTTGAAACTGCTTTCCTTTGATGTGTGGCTGAATCAGACAGTATTTGAGCTCAGTCAGTCAAAGCATATGGGCTAAATTAGTCTTTACCAAATATATAAAAATTAAGTCTTTATGGAAAGAACTGGAGGTTATGTATAAACAAGATGCGAACTTCAAACTGCACGTGATGCTTATCGTAAGGATGATGGAGAGAAGGAAATATGAGATAAGAAGCAATATGTTGTAACAAACGGCTTGTTCAGAGATTTTTCTGAAGCCATGTGGCTATGTTCTTACTCAGTTTCATGTAAGTGTTTATATTTGCTGACTGTTCTGAATATTTAGAACCTGGTTGTTATAGATAACATAGTCTTGCTTGAATCTAATTTTCTAGCTTGCTATGTTACCCTCTTGCTCTTATGACGTCTCCCATGGCCAGGAGAATGGTGGTGTCAATGTGCAGTCTGCTGGAACTTCCTCTCAGCAGTAGTCCACTAGAGTGAGGGTTTAATGAGTTCCAGGAGAGAGACAGTGTGGGATAAGCTTGGGTAAAGACTGACTCTGGCAAGGAGGCTTAAACTATTCTTCACCCTATGCTCCCTCCCGATTGATGTTTAATGGCTGGTCTTCCTGATGTGAAAGCTTGGTATTACGGTTTTGTTACTGCTGGAAAGCTGTACTGAAGAACCATGCAAGTGAACTTTATTTTTTTGATCAAAAAGTAGACTTAACAGTGCTGACAAGTAAAGCAGGTACTTGTAATCCTGCTGTCTTCTGACACTCACCTGTCCTTCTAGATTGATTTGTTTGCATGTATAAGCTTTCTTATGGATGTCAAGTATACCAGGCCTTTCACTTGGGCTGCTTTAAACTGCATATAAATCTATAAATGTCAGTCTTAAAATGGAGCTTACAATAGGTAATTTTAGAGTAAGGATGTGCTATTTTTGACTCGCATTGTGTATTCTGGCTGATGTCAATGTTTAAAGCTAATGGTAGGGTGAGCAAAGTATTGTTTTAAGCTTAAATTGTCCTAAGTCACACCAGGCTCACGTAAACAGGGTCTGAAAGAGCCTTTTTCCTTCCAGGGACCTTTAGTCACTGATATTGGTTACCATGAATAAGGGATAGCTTCTCATGATGTGGAGACACAGGTTTTCTCCTGTGATTTGTGAAAGATTGAAATTGATGCTAAATTCTCATTACAGCTCTCCATACCAGGATTTTTCATTGATTTAAAATGTGTGAATTGAAATTAAAGTGATGCATTAGTTAGTATGAGTGCTTTTGTTAGTCTTAACTACCTATTTAGAGCACACTTACCTCTTTAAGAGATTTGAACCCTTGTGTTCTGTGCTGCTAATGTAACTGTTCATCCACTTCTGCTTCTCATTACCTAGAAAACCAGAGTAATTGCCTTGCTTATGAGGCAGGCGTTGAATGTTATGCTACAAGTAATAGATGTGTTTTTGTTGCTACATTATTTTGAATGCTCTTGTGGACAGCAGCTTGTGGGCAGTGCTCAGTTCTGCCTCTTCTGATGACTTCTGGTTTTTTTTATATAGCTTTAATGGTGAAAGTAAGCGTTATTATGCTAAATGCAGTTTAGAAGGTAGGTGAAGGCCATGAGGTCTGTTTTGATGATGCAGCATTCTGCTTGGGCATTTTTACTGTGCTATTTTTCATTGAAATACAGTCACGACAGCAAGCTTTTAAAGACAAATTTTATTTATTTATTTTTTTCCCACTAAATTGAAATACAATTTTGTATTCTGCGTGGAAATACTTTGAAATGCCCAAAACAAGGAATTTGTTCACCACTTCCCATTGGCTGGTGAATTGGGAAGACAAATGCCGTCACTCTGATCATCCTCCGCTTCTTTCTCATCCCTCAGCTTTCTATGCTGAGCATGATGCCATAGGGTATGGAATATCCCTGTCCTGGCTATGTCGCTTTCCAACCCCTTGTGCACCCCCCAGCCTGCTCACTGCTGGGGTGAGAACCAGAAAAGGCTATGTCTAAGCACTGCTCAGCAGTAACTAAAACATCTCTGTATTACCGACACTGTTTACAGTGCAAATCCAAAACACAGCCCCATACCAGCTATGATGAAGGAAGTTAACTTTATCCCAGCCACAACTAGCACAATGACATAACAAAAACAGGATTAGTTTTCTTCTTGAAGAGTTAAGAAATGCAGTGTGGAGAGGTTAAGGATCTTGCAATATCTCTACAATTGACTGCTGTGTGACTATTGTTTAACAAAGAATTAAACATTAAGTAGCTTTATAGATTAGCCAGAATAATCTAGATTTGTGAATAGCTGCTGACTGAAACAACTCCCCTAACTGTTACTTGTGGAATATCAGTAGTAACACCCCTTGGTTCTAGGAGAGGCAAATTTCTGACTGCCATCAGTGCTCACTCTGGAGGAAGACGAGATGTTTGCACATTCCCTCTGTTTATTTTATTGGATTTTTGTGTCTTTCCAGGTCACGCCAAGGTCCGAGACCCCCATCAACAGTGTCAGCAACAGTCTGGAAAATGTACTACATACATCAACACATTCCATTGAGGAGTCATTACCCAAGAGGCCTTCGGGGAAACACTCCAAAGGTGTGTCCTTTTCTGCATGCGCACTTCCAATGGGGGAGCAAACTCATGTATCTTGGTGGCAACTGATGTTATTTCAGTTGTGATTGGAGACTGGGGTTTTGCTTCTGAGCAAAGGAAGCCACAGAATGGGTCTTGTAGTAAGGCTATCAGTGAAAAATGGTCATCAGGAGACAAGTATGTTTATTTTTCTGTTGGAGAAATAAGCAAGAGCGATCCTTATAAGCTGAAATACCAGCTTAGTTCTCATGGAATATTGTATTCTCAGAGTGACTATCTCTTGACACTCCACCTCTCATTCTTATAGTAGCAGGTTATTTCTTGGATGAAACATATGGTGTGTTGCTTTACTGGGGAGAGGAGAAGGCATTTGAGTTAGGCTTCTACTTCCACCTCTCTCTTAGTTCCAGAATGTGTAAGTGAGAAGCTGGGGGAAGAGGAGTGGAAGACAGGAGAGAAAACTTGCACCTTTTTCCTTCTCTGCTGTTACAAAATAAGTCCTTATTTTTGCAATGCTGACCTGGCTAAAAGCTGGGCTTAGCAAATTAGCGTTAACAAGTACGTGTTCCATTTCCACACTCCAGGCTAGGATTACAAATATTAAAATGTCGAGGTGAAAATGTGACTAATAGTAATTTTTTTTTAAAGGATATGAAAAGCACTGTTAAGTGAGGAAAGCCTTTGAACCGTGAGCTGCTGTTTGTAGTAGCAAATAGCTACTTTTTGTGGTATTAATAAAAATAGTTCTCTATGGCAGAGCTAATGTAGGGGAAATGCACCATCACATTAGCAGCACTACTATATTGCCTTTAAATGTCACTAAAAAATATTGCCATGGACCATATAATTTCTTTTTATTTGGAGTTTATTTTTATTTGGAGTTGGTCTCTGCCATTGGCTTTCTGCATCACTTTGGAAATATAGCTTAGTGCCACATAAATGGTGATGAAGAACTTCAAAGCACATCTTCACTCAGAGGAGCCGATACAGATCGGAAAGGGTTACATATGCCAAGAAAATGTTCTTAGCTTGCCTGGACCAGGCCTCCTTTTCTGTGACACACTCAACTAGAATCCCAGAAGCTGTAAGCAGCAATAATATTTTATAGCAGAATAGTGCTGTAAGTAGCTATTTCTCCAGCTGTAAAAACTATCAGGGTAGAAGAAAATGCACCACTAAGCAGAAGCATGGCTAAGGTTTGTGGCTTTCATCTGATTAAAAATAGGACAGGGTTCAACACTGTTTTCATTTGTACTCAGTGATTGCTATTCCAGTACCATATATGCCAAGATTAGTCATGGTGCACTGTGAAAATTAATTAGGTTTTCCTCTGATCTGTTTTTCTTTTATAGAATATCTCCTTAGTTTTCAGAGAATGTAGCTTTTTAATTTATAGATTGCCTTAGAGATAGTCGTAAAAGGAGTCATGAAACAAATACAATTTTCTTACTAACTGAAACTCTGCTTTCTGGTTCACCAGTAGGAAAGATTGTGTTGAGTTCTTCTTGATGTACGATGTGTCTGAGAGGGAGTTCTGCCTCTTCAGGTTGGAGTAACACTGAAGATTTGCCAGCTGGAGCCACCATTGCTCACTTAAATTTCTGATTCTCATAGCAAACGGACATCTTTTAATTTGGCAGGACCCCCAAACTTTTTAACCTAGAGCACATGGAATTGTCATGTGAGTATAGGATGGACAGGTTGCATGACCACTTGTGTAATTGTTGTGTCAATATTTTCTAGTGAGCCTTGTTTCAGAGAGCTTGAGAGGACAGGATTGCGTCTCATGGTCAGTTGGGGCTGCTCAGCCTGGAGAAGAGAAGGCTGCGTGGAGACCTCATAGCAGCCTTCCAATATCTGAAGGGGGCCTATAGGGATGTTGGGGAGGGACTTTTCATTAGGGACCGTAGTGATAGGACAAGGGGTAATGGGTTGAAACTTAAACAGGGGAAGTTTAGATTGGATATAAGGAGGGAATTCTTTCCTGTGAGGGTGGTGAGGCACTGGAATGGGTTGCCCAGGGAGGTTGTGAATGCTCCATCCCTGGCAGTGTTCAAGGCCAGGTTGGATGAGGCCTTGGGTGATATGGTTTAGTGTGAGGTGTCCCTGCCCATGGCAGGGGGGTTGGAACTTGATGATCTTAAGGTCTTTTCCAACCCTAACTATTCTATGATTCTAAAATAGTGAGCTGCCTAAGTCAGTTGTTCCACTCTTGGCAGAGTACCGTAATTGAAAGTGTCTAAGTTAAAAAGGCTATAGCTGAAACAGAAGAAAAATGAAAAAAATCATGAAAGGTGCAGTATCCATTGTGCTTAGATGGATTAGAGACAGTTTGTATTAATCCAGTGACTGGTTTTAATCCTGATTTGCAGAAATGTTAGTAATTTAACCTACTCTGTACGTAGTTGAACAGAGAATGGGTTTGTAGTAAGCTTGGACCTGAAAGCTATCAGTGGCTTTATCTCTTCTAAACCACACTTTGAATCTAGCTTTTAGTATAAAAGATTTCTAGTTTGCATACTGAAGACAGATGAGACGAGTGGAGTATAACCCTGAATACTCCTTTACTAACTGTGGTGGGAGTCTGTATGCAGTTCTGTTTGCATCAAGTGGTTAATTGGAAACATTCATGCGTGCATCATAGAATCATCGTGTAGAGACTTGTCAAGTACATAACTTCTGAACAATTTCACCATCCTACCTGCACAGAATATTGCTGCCTTGGGAAACAAATTTATACAGTGAGTGTCACTGAGAAGCCTTTGTTTCAGAGGCCCAGCTAACTGTGGGAACACTGTCAGGCACTGGGCTCCTGGATCCATACTGTAATGCCCAACTTGTTGGGAGTGGTGACCAGCTGGGGGCAATCATATGGTTATTTAGCAAAATTCATCAATTTTTATACTGGTCCTTCAGTCTTAGTTAAAACCCCGTCTCCCTTCTGCATGTATCAGTGCTAAAGCAAGGCAAACCAGATGGACATTTCTGCAAAGGAAAAGTTATGACACTAGGCACATCATGTAGCCGTTGACATAAGCAGTTTGGATATCTGCCCTTTATCTGGACTTTAATTTGTAAAATAAAGTTCAAAAATTTGTCCTATCCCATTTAGAAAAATTGTGGATGGGTATTGACATAGAAGGATGTGAACCTCCTTTGGACTGTCATAGCTGTAACATGCATTATGAATTGTGCTCTTTACTGATATCTTTTGGTGACTGAGGATTGTTCAAACCTGTTCCCACAGATGTGGAAGTCAGTTGAAGGTAACATCAGTGACTGGCTATTGTGCCTGTAAACTGCACACAAGCACAGATTTTAAGATACTGACAGATCTCACAGGTCAAGGAAAACATAAGTAGATACAGACTGTTGTGATAACCGAAATTCCAGGCATGATATGTCGCTATATCTTCGTGGGTTTTTTCCCCTGTTTCTAGAATCTAGCCAGGTTTTAACTACATCTTTAACACTGATCTGAACAAAACAATCAAATTCAGATGAGGGTTGGGCATCTTTTGCATACTGCGTGAGCTGAGTATTTTTCTGTCTTTCTTGTTGTGCCCTAGGCTTTTTCCCACAATACTACAAAAGTTGAACCAGTGCAAGCATAGCTGCAGGTGTCCAAAACTGGAATCTACGTTTCTGATGTCAAGATAAGATTTCATGCTTGCAAATGCTTGCCTGATAGGCACATACTTCAGCAACAGTGCAGCTGCATAGTGATGGTCCCTTCTATAGGCAGGTTTGTGTTTCCCAGCACAATACCAACAAAGTCAGCAAGCTTATTTCAGGTATTCTGATTGCTGGTTGTCTGAAACTAAGGATTTTACCTTGCATTTTACGGAGAGGCACTTCAAACCTTTTCCTGGTTTCTGACCTGGGTGGTTAAAGAAGGTTACTGGTTAAAAATATAACACTCACTAGCAACTTCTGTTTTGTGGGCAATCCTGTGTTGGTAGCTAAGGGAAATGGAATTACTATGTCAAAGTCCAGAATGAGCTATCAGACCTAGGGGAAGTCCCATTCGCCGAGCTAATCTGTAACAAGCCTATGGATGCAGAGTTGTTCTGATCTTGTGTGGCAGTTCTCGAAAGGGAGTAGTTGGGTGCCAAAGCTGAATGAAAAAAATCAGCTTACTTTGTATTTTAAAATACAAAAGTGGTAGGAATTTCCTCTCCACCAGAGATGTTATTAATTACTCCTACCGTGTGGTTCCAAGCAGAATGATCTGGCTGATAGGTGAAAATCACTGTAGGCAAATACTACTCTGTGCATGTGACATATTTCAGCAATGTATGAAATATGCTCAGTGGCCACAGCATATTTTCCAAAAGCACAGTGGAATAAAGAATATTAGACCAGATGCTAAAGTGCAGAACAAAAGAATGTTTATAATAAAGGCAGTGTAAGTCGCAAAACGTCACCATGCAGTCTTCATACTGTAATTTCTCATAATACTGAGTAAAATTTTGATTTGTCACAGCCTCTGTTTTAAATGTTCTGCAGTGGAAGTTCTGTGCTGGTATTTATAAGATGTGCATTGCTGCTGTGAGGCTTTGCAGGTGGCACTTACCACTGTTTTCCTCCATTAAGCAGTCTGGAAGATGGTTTGCTTGACTGAACAAATCCCATTTTGTGCGAAGTGACAAAAAATCCCCTATTCTTGTCTTTCCTGTATATTTATCTTGCCTTTCCGCTGTTGCCACACAAAACCTCAAAATTGTTTCCCAGCCAGTCTGATTTCAAACGAAGCAACTGTTGAAATGTGATCCTTATATAGTGAAGCTGAATCACAATCCTTGCAACACATGCATCTAATGATAGACACAGACTGCTTTCTGTGGACAGAGAGGAGTAAAGATGTAAAATGGGTGCAGTAGGCTTTATTCTACAATCTGTACTCTATTTTGGTACTCCTGCTGAGCACAGTAAAACTTCTTCCTTAATTGAAGGTCCTGTTAGCCCACATACAGGTTTCTGCAAAGCTTCAACAGTGTGCC